TGTGTGTGTGTGTGTATACATCTTGGTTCTGTACATCTTGGTTCTGTACATCTGGGTCTATTTCCATCATGTGGAACTTAAACCCAGTTCTTCCAGGAGCTAGAGTTACCTGGCAGCAGATCTCAGGAAACTCCATGGATTTGGGTCAGGCCTAGGGTCTCACACAAGATGCCAGGATCATACGCTGGCTGCTGGCAATGGAGATTGTCTTGGGTGATAGTTAGCAGTCTGCCATTTTTTCTTTGGTGCCAGTACCAGAACTTGAACTCAAGATCTGATCACAGTCCCTTAGCTCTTTTACTCAAGACTAAGAATGACTACCACTTGAGCTACAGCTCCATTTCAGGCATTTTAGTGGTTAAGTGGAGATAAGAGTCTCACACTTTCTTCAAACCACCACCCTCAGATCTCAGCCTCCTGAGTAGCTAAGATTACAAGCTTGAGCTACCAGCACCTGGCTCAAATAGTATTACCAATTTTGAGCTGTGTGGCTCTAGTCACGTGGCTTAATCTCTTTAGTCCCATTTCCTGACCTGTGAAGTGAGGATTTTAAAAAAGCATAGTAATAATAATACTCTATGGGGGGCTGGGAAGGTGGCTCAGTGGTAGAGCGCTTGCCTTGCATGCTCGAGGCCCTGGGTTCGGTTCCTCAGCACCACATAAGCAAAAAGAAAAAAGCCGGAAGTGGTGCTGTGGCTCAAGTGGTAGAGCGCTAGCCTTGAGCTGAAGAGCTGAGGGACAGCACCCAGGCCCAGAGTTCAGGCCCCATGACCGGACCCCCCCAACAAAAAAAATAATACTCTATGGGGGTGGCTATGCACATCTGATGGGGTAAAAATAAGATAAATGAAACATTCATCTCAATACAGCAGTTATTAGTAATCAATATTTATTATTTGTCACTGCTATTATTTGGGCTGGCCTTGATCTGAGACGCCTTCTAAGGTGCAGGGTAGATGAGAAAGGTCCCGCTGCAGCCTCTTCTCTGCCCCCCCACCTCACTGGCTCCCTTTGAAGTCACCAGAGACCCTGGGGTAATAAATGTCCCAACCCTATTGGTTATGACTTGCTGCCAGATTTGACTTGAACCACTGGTGCTCTGGCTGTGTGTTTGAGGAAAGGGGCTAAATGCAGCTGGGGCCAATGGGGAGATAGCAGCCCATTCTAGACTCTGGTCTTTGAAGGCTCCCCCAGTCATTATGGAGAAAGAGAGAAGAGAGGGAGAAATAGAGAGAGAGAGGAGGCTGCTCCACAAAGCTGTTTAGTCTACTAATCACGGTGCTGACAAGAGTCTGTGCTGGCTCAGGGCTGCCAACTGGGCTGGAGGGACCCACCCTGCAGCCATTGAGGGGGCTCGCTTTCTTTTCCTGGGATGCTGGTGTTGTGGGTCTTTTTCACAGGCTACCAGAAGATGAGGTAGGAGAAAGATCACATTGGAAGATTTTAGGAATGTCAAGGAAAGGCTGAGATTCCAGGGAGTGGACATCCATCTCTGCTTCTTCTGGTCAGAAGAGGTCCTTGATGGCCTCAGTTTCCTAGTTTTGTCAAGAGAAGCAAAGGCTAGCACTTCTTTTCCAGGGCTCAGGAATGCACAGCAG